ATGAAATTAAATTAAATGAAATTAAATTAAATGAAATTAAATTAAATGAAATTAAATTAAATGAAATTAAATTAAATTAAATTAAATTAATGATTAAATTTTAATAAATACCAACTCATATTTTTTTCCTCAACAAGAAATTTTCTATCAGTTTATTATTTTTTCTTTTTTTAAGCGACTATACATGCCAGCTTGATTCAGAAAATATAATGAAATAATTAATTAATTAATTAAAATAAAAATTCAAAAAAAATAATATTGCATGTGTTATTTTAAAGGGATACGTATCATTTCAATGACAATCGCTTCACCGACAGCTTAGTTCACAATTAATTCACAGGCAAGATTATTTTATTGACAATTAATGTCCTCATGCATTATGACTCACCTTTTCTATTAATTGCTCCCATGTCATGATCTTCGGCGGACAACCTTAGGCAAATAACCATCCAAGCCTCTTGAGGCGCGATTCGTTATAGTTTCGGAAATGTCACCTTTAGCCATAACATCGTGTCTGATGAAACTTGCAAAACACAATATAAAACCTGGTCATATAATTTTTAGAAATCCGATATACCACTGCAAATTTTATTCTGATCTGTTTGGAATAAACAAAACTTCAGAATTCTGTAGATTTGAAATATATTTAAGTGGATTATTTTGAATTCATACTTGCAAAACTTTGAAGAATTACAAATTAAGACATTTTGTTTTTTAATGCCTTATCATTCTTAGAGAAATAATATGAAGGTATTAAAAATTTGTTAAATAATCTTTCGTGGATAAACAAGCGGTTTTTCCCTTACAAACAAGCAGTCCGCAAAGTAGACCGAGAATTATTGCATACAATAGTATTAAGTGAATTGCAGCATACTAATACAGCCTACTCTCTCTAAGTACAAGTCCTCTAAATGCAAGTTATATAAAATTCTCTTTAAAACATAGGTGCAACTTCGATCCCATGTATATAGAGTTTGCTTTTTTTAATAGTAAGTTTAGAGAAAGTCCGCTGTATTATAGTCCGAGTAGTCCAAGAATTACTATATAATAATTTTATTTCCCAAGACAAACAAGAAGTCTTTTCCCCATGAACAAACAGTTCACAAAGTAGTTCAGGAAATATTTTTCTCAAAGTCCGAAAACTAGTCTGAATTGGTTGTTTCGTAGTTCATTTTCGTATCAATTGTGCTTAGCCATCTCTTCTTCCAAATCATATACATTAAAGAAATGTACAAGTGAAGGTTCCTCTGCTCGCTATTATAAAATTACATATTTTTAGAGCAATAAGCTATATCATATTGCCCACAAAGAAAAAACTCGTAGTTTGTCTTACCGGGGTATTAAGATGTAAATCACGCGTCATTTCATTATGATATGCAATCTGATCAAGTTTTCTGAAAAATTCAGTTTGATAAACCTAGCATACATTTCACATATCTCACGCGCAAGGTTCTAGAAAATTTTTTGAAAGATTAGAAAACAATAAATCACAATTTTTTATTGGATATCGCGTTTTAAATTACATAACAAAAACCGATTGGTCAGCTATTTTACAATTACGTGTAACTTTACGCGCATTAATAAGATACGATTAATGTGCGGTGTTGTGATACACAGATTTCTCAAAATAAAACTCAGATTTATTACAAATAATAAATCAGATTTTTTGATAGCGAAATAACAAACAAATTTTGATTTTTACTAAAACAGTTTTACATAATGATTTGTACGTCGAAATCGAATTTTTGTGGATTCCTGATCAACTTGTGTTAAGGGCAATGTAATAATTTATGTAAGCAATATCTAGCTAGAATATGTGACTAGAATATATGCATAAATAGCTTCGCTCCATCGCATGAACAGGGGCCGTCAAATATTGAATATCAAATTGAAAATTTTTTTGGGATAAATTTATTATTAAAATTATTAAAATGGCTATAGTTAACCATTTTAATTATTTTAGACTTTTAATTTTGATCTTTAATCATATCAAAGTTTGTAAAAAAAAAACTTTGAAATACTAAAACTATTTTAACTTATATAAAGATAAAAATGGAAGAGATATATATCCAACCACACTACAGTATGTATTATCATCATATTCAAATTTGAAAAAATTATTTGTCGATCTCTATCCACGAGGATGTTTTATATTCAAAATTCTAACCAAGATTCGCAAACTTAATTGCTTAAAAAAAATATATATATATATTATAAAATTTTGGTTAACTTCAAAGAATTTTTGGCTAAGGTTGTTCTCAAGCACCTCTCTCTATGGTTAATAAGATTTTCTGATTGCTAAAAAAAAAAGGATCATGTTTAATCATTTCGACCAAAAAAACCTGGTCCATCTTTTTTTTTTCAGAGTTATTCTGATTGCTATTGAACAGCATCTCGATCACTAGCAAATTACAGAGGGTGCTACGCTGTAAACGTAGAAGTTCTACAAAAATTGGTGTATTCAATGTGCAATTGAGGTCTATTTTTTGAATCTTCCAGAGAATATAATTCAATCAAAAAATAACTTGATAAAGTTGATAAGGATTTTTATATTTCAAGAACAATCTCAAAGTGTTGAATATTTTTTGAATATATCTCTGAGAGAAAGATTTAAAATATAAAGCTTCTGAAGATGGGCGGTTCTAGGATGTATATAAAGCAGAATGGTTAGGTGGAGAAATAGAGCACATTGACCTTACCAAAAATAGTGTTTTAAGAAAAGGCTTGCAGCATGTTGTATTAAAGGCCATATCAAAGAATGTAGAAATTCTGGTGATTCTGACGAAATAAGCACAAATTTTATTTATCTTGTGTTGGTTATTTTATTATTAATTTATTAACAAATATAGTTTGCTCAATTAATATCTGCTAATGCTCATGGCGCTGGCACAAAATGTTACGAATTTTCTCGTTTTGCATCCTCAAGTGATCTTTTTATTATTATGAAGCTATATAAAGAAAATTCACGCTTGAGAATATTGGAAGCTTGGTAGCATCAGAGATTTTAGTTTTTATTTAAAATTAGTTCATACTTGTTTGTATTCATATTTTCGGAATTATGTATGGTGACTTCAATTTAAGAAATATACTCTGTGATGACACCGTGCGGCGCTAAACCTTTTTTTTATGCAAAACATAAAAACCTAATGATTCAAAGGCCGTCTATGGTATTTCATTTTATACTGCAGCAATATTGACTTTTTCAATATTTAGTTAGGCCCGGAGATTCCTAAGCGTGCACCGCCAGTATATATCGAATTAATGACTCAATGCTGGAATTCGAATTCAAAATTTCGACCAAGTTTCTTGAAACTTCCAACGATTATTCCAAATAGCAATTGAAGGTTATCGTAAATTCTTTATTGGTAATAAGGATAAACCTCAATTGCCATGTTCAGAAAAAGTACTGAATATTTTTTTAAGCCCGGAACGAATAAAATACGTGAAATATATTTGAGATGAAATTTATAGATTTACAGAACTGCCCGTCAACAAAGGGCATGCAAAACAGGTATTACGATAAAATGTATAGTATAGTCGGTCAAAGGAGTATAGTATACAGTATTATACGGAATGTATATTATTTATTGAAAACTTTTATTTTAAGTATAAAATTTTAAAATATATTATACATTCTGTATAATTTTGATTAAAAAATAATTATACACCTAGTATAATGTTAGTAAAAAATTTATACTTGTAATAAATAACTTCGATTAATAAGGGTTACTAATAAGTGTTACTAACACACTACACGGAAATCTGTGAATCGGGAATAATTAATTTTATTCTAACATTCTTAGCAGAAACTTGAATTTTTGCCATTTTATGATTATCATATGATAGTTATATAACTATTATATAATAAAAATATGATAAAAATATTTTAATAAAAAAATATAAGAAATATATGATAAACATATATAAAATGTATTATTATAATACTTTAAATATATTTTTGTAATCCTGTTAGGTCACTATTAACGCGATTAATACCATATATTTATAATACAATTATAATATAAGTATAATCTAATATTATCTAGTAATTATCTAATAGCAATCTAATAGCAATCTAATAATATAATA